CAACCATTCACTCTCTCACTCACACCTAGGGACAATTTAGAGTTACCAATCAGCCTAACATGCATGTTTTTGGTCTGTGGGAGGAAACGGGAGTACCCGGAGAAAACCCATGCATGCACGGAGAGAACATGCAAACTCCACCCAGAGGTCCCCTGGACCGGGGTTTGAACCAGGGACCTGCTCGCTGAGAGGCAGCAGCTCTACCAGTTGTGCCACCGTGCTGCCTCGATTTTTAACAATATAAACATTAATTCAAAGGTACATTTTAAAGATTAAAATGGTTGGGGTTTCTCACCATTTCCTTCCAGACACTCTTTTTCCTCATCAAAGGTCTTTATTGTCCTTTTCCCCCCTCTCTGCTGCTGTACCAACATGCTTTGTAACGGTTCACATCCCATCAGACTCAGCTACGTTGGAAAATGGAACGGTTGCAGCTTCAATGAGTTTTTGCCAGCAGCAATTGCACTGAAGCTGAAAGACGTAGGTGAGGAAGGGTCAGGATGAAATAATTTATTGCATTTTGCTCCTGTCAGACTTCCAAAGCCCACGAGTGCATCTCTGTGCTTCCTGTGCCTCACGCAAACAGAAGCAACACAATTGGCAGAGCAGCATGCAGAATCCGTCTCAACAGCCATTCATCTATTCAGACGTGATTGGATCGCATGTAACCTCTAAAATGGTCCGTTTAATTTTTATTAAAAGGTCAGACAGAAGAACCAGAACAAAACAAATGAATCAAAAAATGTTCTGTCATATGGTACAGCATGGTGTATAGTGCTGAAATTCTGTACATTCTTTATGGTATTTCAGTTACTGACTAAGAAATTAGATCATATGACTGTTTGCAAATGTAATACTGAACTGTCTCATATTTCTTTGGTTCAGTTAAATGCATTTTCTCATGAACTTTAAATTTGTAACAATGCCTGGATGATATATTTTGTTCAAAACAAGGTGTGTTTGGAATCATATTGTCATTTTGTTCTTGCAGCGAAAACAGAAAACTTGAAGCCTGTGAACTCTTGAAGAACTTCTTCGTGTCAGAGAACAGCTTGCAGTGTAAGCTGTTGCTTTATTTAAAAAGAAAATCCTATAATGGCTACAGTTTTGTCACTGTACCTACTTTTCTCCAACACAAACAGCTTATATTTCACTCCATGCTAACTCACCATCTTCTTTGGAGAAGGAAGAGGTTTATGTGACCCACTTTAGACAGGATGATGACCGCTGCCAAAACATAAAATGATGACAACACATATAGTAGCACTCATACTTATAATTCAGTTCAATGTGGTGGCAATATATTACAGTCCTAAATTGAGCTTGAGGCATATGCCATGTTTGTGTGGCTTGGTCATAAAATTTACAAAACAGAACCATGCTGACCTCATGACTAGGTTACTACGGCTGTGATTGTGACGAGGTTGTGGATACAGCTTTTCACAGATACCCATGATGGTACCGTTGTGCTAGCGCGGCACGATCTAGCTGTGAAACAAGAGAGCTGTTGCAGGGCGGGTGTACAAACCATTGTGAGTGCAAAGAGGAGCATCTCAGGGACATATTTTTTTCCTTCTATTCTCCGGTACTCTGGTTTCCTCCCACAGACCAAAAACATGCATGTTAGGCTGATTGGTAACTCTAAATTGTCTCTAGGTGTGAGAGAGAGGGTGAATGGTTGTTTGTCTTGTTTGTCTCTGTGTCCCTGTGATGGACTGGAGATCTGTCCAGAGTGTCCCCCACCTCTCTCACAGTGATAGCTGGACAAGGGTACCAGTGACCCCCGTGGACAGAAAAGGAAGAAGCAGGTAAAGATGGATGGGTGGATGGATGGATGGATGGATGGATATCCACAAAAGTGTTTTTTCTCATTCTTTGTTCATGTGCTGAGTCACGTAAAGAAGAAGACATTTCAGACAAAAAGAAAGCATCAAAATCCCCATTGGACTTCAAAACTGTTTTACTGCAATTTCTAAGGTGTCCAATCTAACTGTTCAAACAGTAAGAGTTGTTTGTCGCTGAGAGAACACAAAAAGTTAATTAAAAAACACCAACAGCCTTCACCTTCTGTTACAAGTTAGACATAATGTGTATTAGCATCTACATAATAAACATTATTAAATAAGCTTAGGCAAAAGGCAAAATCATCTAATGTTTGTGGCAGCTGAGTGGCTGAGTGGTTAGAGCAGTTGTCCTTCAATGCTAGAGTTGGGAGTTCGATTTCACCACCAGTCACTTGCTGAAGTGTCTCTGGGCAAGACACTGAACCCATCGGAGACCTGAACCCCTCATTGTCTCCGATGTGTGTCCCATCAGTGTGTGAATATGATCCAAAGCTCTGATTATTCTTTGTAAAGATCTAGTAGAGTGCTGTATGAGGCCCTGTGATGGACTGGAGACCCGTCCAGGGTGTACCCCATCCCTCGCACAGTGATTGCTGGACATGGGCACCGGCAACCCCCGTAACCCAAAATGGAAGAAGCGGGTAAAAGATAATGGATGGATGGATGCTGTATGAATGGGTAAGTGAGGACACAGATTGTAGTGTAAAGTGTGTTGAGTATCTTGATAAGATAGAAAGGTGCTATAAGTACAGTCCATTTACCATTTTTACATCTGACTGTATTTGTGAATTCAGCTCACACAGACAGTTCGCCTGCACCCTGACAATAATTCCTTCTTTTTTATTTGCTGGGAAGTCAGTGGAAGTAATAAGAACATTAAACAAACCAGCTTATTATCTGCTATATTAAAATGCAGTTTTAAATGCAGCTTCAAAACATAGGGATTTATAATCACTCGCAACGTTTGTTTACAATCAGTTCCCCACAAATCCATAGAGCTGAAAAGTTGGATGAACATCGACGCAGAAATTTGTTGCGGTTTGATGAAAATAAGTTTATTTTCTCCTAATATGCGAGGTTTTCTGAGTAAATTGTGCTGTATCAAAACAGTCCAAGTTTGTTGTCAATATAGTTTTGTTAAAACACTGATGTTCAAAATGAAGATGATGTCATTATCACTTGCTGCTGGCAACTGGCGAGTGATAATGTTTTTGCCTGTGACTGAGTGTTTGTGCCTTTTTGTTAGCAAAATATCCTTTGAGTCACTGGGTGGAGTTTAAAGACACTAAGAAATAAATCAGTGGGTGTACATCTACCACTCTTTAAAAAAAAATCAACCCAGTCCATGGTATGGATGGTATCTCGACTATGTTACATGAAGCTGCACAAAATGTCAAAATGGTAGATTTGACCAGAATCTATAATTCTGTCTTTTCTCAATATGTTAAAACTGACATAAAAGTCTTTGGGCAACAGGCAATCCTTCAAGGAATACTAGGTTTTATATTTTTTAGTGAAAACTTGGTCATAACTTGACAATATCTTCAGATTTCCAACAACGTTAAGTCAGGTCCTCTGCATGGTTTCTTATTGTTGAAACATTTCGTCCTTCATCCAAACGACTTCATCAGTCTGAGGAGCCACAATAAACTCATTCTTGTCCTACTTGTCGATGTTTACTTGTAAATAGCACCTTCACTTAGTGGGTCAACCAGTTTGATGGTGCTAAGATGGTTTCTGGAGTCCGCCCTCTTCCCCACCGACTTGTTTGAGGCAGTCATGGCCATCACCATCACTATCACCATCAAACTGATTGACCCACTATGTGAAGGTGCTATTTGTTAGACTGAGTTTGTTGCAGCTCCTCGGACTGATGAAGTCTTTTGGATGAAGGACGAAACGTTTCAAGAATAAGAAACCATCCAGAGGATCAGATTTAACTTTGCTGGATTTTTTTTACCTGGATTATTGAGCATGAACTTTGATCTTCTGATTTATTTCATAATCTTACAGGTATTTACACCTGATCGCAAGATCAATTTTGATCTTATCTTTGTAAGTGTGTGTCAGACTGATATCAAGCTGACTTACTCATGCTGAACCCTGTGAGCCTGTTTCACAGACGAGCCAGATTAAGCATAATCTGGCCTAATATGGACTTGTTAAATGTGGGCATTTAAGTGGCTTGCACAAACATGGTTTTGAATTTGTTTTAGTTAATCTGAGATTATGGAGTCCTGCATCAGTGTGGCTAGTCCAATATGGCAAAAAAAAAAAAAAAAAATAATAATAATAATAATTCACCTCACAAAGTAGTTCCTATTATTAAATAATGTAAATTACTTTTTACTGAACTTGCTGTTTGGTTCTGTGTATTTTCAACTATTTAAAATATTTTAAATTAGAATGTTAAAAGGATTTTTAGCTATTCATTCTCAGTTGTTGTTTTTTTTAACTTTTTTTTTTTTTATTATAGGATGCTACTGTTCAGTGACATGTTCTTCAAGCAGACTGGAACAGGTCCAGTGATCTGAACAGCCAACTCCAACAGCATTTCATTTGGGGCGTTACATTTTCTGCCCTGTGGGCAAATTTGTGTAAGACACAATTTTGCTAATAAAAACCCAAAAAAGAATTGCGGGGAGCATTCCTGGAGTGAAGTTTGACACAAAACAATGGCTGAAGTAAAAAAAAAAAAAGTGTTAAAAACTATAGAGAGAATGAAAACCCTTTACTTGAACAAATTATCTTCTTCTTCTACTGAGTAGAAGAAGAATGCATGGGCTGCCATTTGCACTGAATTCAATGCAGATGATAATGTAACCACAAGCGCAACAACTGCAGGTGAGATCTGCCTATTATGACATCACAGATGTTATCTGCTTGATTGTGATTATTATTTATTATCAATTTATTGTTATTGTATCCTTTTCTTTTGTTTTATATTGCATTGTCTCATTTTGTTGCTTACGTGGTAGTTTTCACTGTAATGCTGACAAGCATTTTTTGAGCTACATATTTGATTGGAAGGTGTTTCATAAATAGGAATTATTACTGTTTTTATATTCAATATATTGTTTATATTTGATGGTATCTGCCTTCATAGACTCTGTGGAAGAACATAAATCTACATCTGAAAAAAAAAAAAAAATAAGGATGCAGAGGACAGAAGAGACCAATTTACTGCTGGTGGTGGACTACATCCAAGGAAAGACAGCACAGATGGGTGTCTCAGTGTCTGGGTGCGAGAACCAGCAGCCTCTGGATGGTGTACCAGACAGTGACCATGAAGAACAGTCAGGTCATTTGGACAGTTTATTTTTTTGTGCTGAAATGTTTCGCCTTCGATCCAGAAGGCTTCATCAGTCAAGGAAACACACAACAAAACTGATTCTTCCCCCAACAGCTTACTCCAAAGTGGAGCAAACCAGTTCTGCTTGTGATAAGATGGTGTCTTTGGTACACCCCCTCCTCCATTGCTGGCCCTCTTCCTTGTTGACAGTCTTGCCAAACTGGTTGAAAACAACAAAGTCCATGCTCAATAATCCAACAAATGGTAAATGTACCAAAGACAGTAAATCAGTTACCTTCTGTACAAATATACTGCTTGTGTTTTTTTATTTTTCATTCTAAGGACCACACAGTTTTGTATTTCTAAGTCTGCTTTACCCAAAGGAAACACTTATTCTGATAAAGAGCACCTGTGCCTGTGCACCCTCCAGATCTGGTGTGGCATGCCACAGAGAAGATGCTGCTCCTATCTTCCAGCAAAAAAGGATGTCTCTGCATGAATAACTACCCCGACAATTTCATGAGCAGAAAATGAAATATCTGAAACATGAGCATGACATGAAAATAAGAATTCAACAGGTTGAATTAGATATGACATTGGAAAAGAGAGCCGTTCAAAGAAAGACGCATGAGACAGCTTTGCCGAACGAACAATGTGAATAAATAAAAATGAAAATAAAAATGTTATCTCATTTGACAAGAGTGTGATTATCGTAACCACAAACTATGTTTTAAACCAGCACTGGTTGAGTGACTTCTTTAATTTTGCTGCAAACTTTCACATTTTATACACAACAAACATCATTAAAGCAAAAATAAATAAATAAAAAGCCATAATCAATATACTTCATGGGTAAATACATCTTTATTTAACTGAAGTGCTGCAATGTGAAAGCAGCTCTGTGTGCAGGTCCTCATTGGTTAGTCCCTGCCACGACCACATCTGAATCATCCTGATGTTACACAGGAGGATCCGGTCAGTCATGACGCTTAAGATAATTGTGCAGCACAGCTGTGGCAATAATAAGTTTGCAGCATCTTCCTGGCTCAAAACAAAGTATATTCTGTATACAATGAAATACTGTAGATGTTCCCATACTCCAAACATACAGGTCCTTCTAAAAAAATTAGCATATTGTGATAAAGGTCATTATTTTCCATAATGTAATGATAAAAATGAAACTTTCATATATTTCAGATTCATTGCACACCAACTGAAATATTTCAGGTCTTTAATTGTTTTAATACTGATGATTATGGCATACAGCTCATGAAAACCCAAAATGCCTGTTCCAAAATATTTCATCCCACCAATGAAAGACAAGTGTTTTTAATACAAAAAACACCAACCTTCAAATAATCATGTTCAGTTATGCACTCAATACTTGGTCAGGAATCCTTTTGCATGAATGACTGCTTCAATGTGGCGTGGCATGGAGGCAATCAGCCTGTGGCACTGCTGAGGTGTTATGGAGGCCCAGGATGCTTCGATAGCGGCCTTAAGCTCATCCAGAGTGTTGGGTCTTGCGTCTCTCAACTTTCTCTTCACAATATCCCACAGGTTCTCTATGGGGTTCAGGTCAGGAGAGTTGGCAGGCCAATTGAGCACAGTAATACCATGGTCAGTAAACCATTTACCAGTGGTTTTGGCACTGTGAGCAGGTGCCAGGTCGTGCTGAAAAATGAAATCTTCATCTCCATAAAGCTTTTCAGCAGATGGAAGCATGAAGTTCTCCAAAATCTCCTGATAGCTAGCTGCATTGACCCTGCCCTTGATAATACACAGTGGACCAACACCAGCACCTGACATGACACCCAAGTGACTGTGGAAACTTGACACTGGACCTCAAGCAATGTGAATTCTGTGTCTCCTCTCTTCCTCCAGACTCTGGGACCTTGATTTCCAAAGGAAATGCAAAATTTACTGTAATCAGAGAACATAACTTTGGACCACTCAGCAGCAGTCCCAGGAGAGATGCTTCTGACGCAGTCTCTTGTTCAAGAGTGGCTTGACCTGGGGAATGCGGCACCTGTAGCCTATTTCCTGCACACGCCTGTGCACGGTGGCTCTGGATGTTTCTACTCCAGACTCAGTCCACTGCTTCCGCAGGTCCCCCAAGGTCTGGAATCGGCCCTTCTCCACAATCCTCCTCAGGGTCCGGTCACCTCTTCTCGTTGTGCAGCGTTTTCTGCCACACGTTTCCCTTCCCACAGACTTCCCACTGAGGTGCCTTGATACAGCACTCTGGGAACAGCCTATTCATTCAGCAATTTCTTTCTGTGTCTTACCCTCTTGCTTGAGGGTATCAGTGATGGCCTTCTGGACAGCAGTCAGGTCGGCAGTCTTACCCATGATTGCGGTTTTGAGTAATGAACAAGGCTGGGAGTTTTTAAAAGCCTCAGGAATCTTTTGCAGGTGTTTAGAGTTACGTCGTTGATTCAGATGGTTAGGTTAATAGCTTGAGAACCTTTTCATGATATGCTAATTTTTTGGGACAGGCATTTTGGGTTTTCATGAGCTGTATGCCATAATCATCAGTATTAAAACAATTAAAGACCTGAAATATTTCAGTTGGTGTGCAATGAATCTGAAATATATGAAAGTTTCATTTTTATCATTACATTATGGAAAATATTGACCTTTATCACAATATACTAATTTTTTGAGAAGGACCTGTACACTCAACCATCCCTCTTGTGTGAACATGGCCTCTATTGTATCTTTGTTTCTCAGCTGTTGTGGGATGTAGGTATGGTGTAGTCCACATGATGGTAGTCCACTATGAGGACTTGAGTAAAATCCTTGAATCATGAGTTGCACATTGCCAATGGGCAGCAATGTTTGAAAAATCCAAACTGGTTGTGCATACACTCTGAACACTGATGGAAAACCAGTTCTTATGGTTCCTGTACTCCTCAGCATCAGGAGTTGATGGACACTTGATGGCAACATGACATCCATCTACACAGCCAGTCACTCCTGAGAAGTGTCATGTTATAGTTGGCTTGCTCGGCAGCATCAGATAATTTGATGTAGTCTTCTGAGTTCACAAATGGCACTGCATACTCTACAGATGCTGCACTGGCACCACACAAATCACCAGTTTCACGATGAAACACTTCAGCTGTCAAGAGTCTCTCAAAGTGATGAGAACTTAGAGAGAACTGGTGACAGGCCTTCTTTGATTCAGAGAGGAAAGTCTAGGCTCAAGCAAAGCGATTGTTTCCTGTATGAAAGTGGTCTTGCGATGTTATTTTCATCTAAGAGGTTCACTGGATGACTCCTGTCCACAAGTGCTCCTCTGGTTGGCCTCCGTAGTGTATGTTGGTCTTCATTTGGATATTCTCAATACTCCATGCTGCCAAATCGTCTGTGCTCCCTTTCACAAACAACACTAAGCAGAAGTTAAACTTGCCTCCTTGAAGAACTATTTTAAGCTTCAATTTAGTCACAGGGTAGCTCTGATCCAACTTCTGGCAATTGGCTTTGTTTAATACAGAACTGACTAAACCTGTAGCTATTTTAAGATATGGCTGTGCAAAGGACTTAAACCAGCTCAAACAGCATTTTAATCTGAGATTATCCTTAAGCCTTGTCTGAGGAACTGGCCCTGAATCTTTTTCACTATGTAGAGAAACCTCATGTGCAGAAACAAAGGGCTAAGGTCCTGTGGTGAAACAGTGATCTTTTATTGGTTTTTGACTGTAAACACTTTGCCAGTGTTCAGATAAAGGAACCAAATGCACAACACAACAGCACTTAGAGAAGCCAGATGTTCAACATATCAGAACCCACAGACAGAAATTAATGTACTCACAGTGAACAAGCTTAGACAAAAAAGTACAAACCAACAGAGAGCAGAGGGGAAATGGATGAATATGACAAGATTAAATGAAAAAAAAACAGGAAGTAAATCCCTGGAAAACCAAATGATGAAACCTAAGCTGAATGAGCGATGGAGGTCTGAAGGACAGACGGAATGGGTCACTTGATGACAAATGAGCCCAGCATTTACTGCAGTGGTCCAGGTGACAGACCATGACGCTGACGAAGATCGCTCAGGAGCAAAACTGACAGTCAAACACAGAGTTAGGCATTTGGTGGAAATTAAGTGGGGAGGAATTTGAAAACTCAATTACATGGTAGAACGCATGGCCAGCAGAGGGCAGGAAATCAAATTCAATGGGCTCCTACACACAAGATGAACAAATGGCCCTCAAACATTTTGGTAGACATCAGGACTTCCACACGATTTTATAAAATGAAGTTTTGCAAATTCTGTGCAGGCCAGAGTGTTTGACAGGAGATACTAAAGACACTGGAAAATAAAAAGAGAGCATTTTCTGATTTAAAAACCGTCCAAACAACATTTAATTATTTTTAAAGGGCTATGGCGATCTGGGCTAAATTGTTATAATCATAATGTTACCACTGAAAACAGTCCCTAACTCTGCCAACTGAAAACAAGCTTTGTAAACTGTGTTTATTTTATTTATTAAATTTTTATTTTCACACATGTGAGTTGGGCATCTGACATGTTTTCAGTTTTTTGCACAGGACTTACAAATTAATAAAAAGCACAAAATTGTGTGTTCTACAACTAAACTTAGAGGCCATTTACACAAGAACTTGTTTTAAAGTTAATTACGGTAATTAAAGTGCTATGCGTTGTCATCATGTTCCCATACAATTAGTTCTCTGCATTTAACCCATCACACATGAGATACACCCAGGTGGAGCAGTGGGCAGCTATGTAGGTGCCTGGGGAATAATTAGGGATTGGGTGTCTTGCTCAAGGACACCACAACATGTGGGAATGGCGGGGAGTTGAACCTTCAACTTTCTGGTCCCAAGTCGCCTGCCCTACCTCTACACCATCTCGGCTCCTTTAAATTTTGTGAATATACAAAGGGGGTTTTATTAGTGCAGCCTTGCATCCATGGAAACCATGTTTTGGGATCTCAAAATGGTGTATTAAAAAAAAAACGGTTCCAGAATGAACAAAAAAC